AAAACAAGTGTATGAAAATACTCATTCATTACATTGTATTTTTCATATCAGCCAAAATCTTCCAAAGAATTTGAAGGAAACATTAGGTAATGCATATGATTAATTTGTCAAAGACTTTTATCTCTGCCGTAACACTTTGGATGAGATGCTATTTGAGTCCAGATGGAAAATTTTATTAGAAAAGTTTCCATCTGCTTCAAGCTATCTAAATCGGACTCTTTATCCTAGTCATTACTCATGGGCTTGTGCCTTTACATCCAAAGTTTTCACGGCAGGAATTCAAACTACATCACGCGTTGAAGGGTATGTTGTAAATTAATATATTATAATTTGATTTGGTTAGAGTTAGATTCATGATTATTATTTGGTTAGGTTTATAGGTTAGAGTTTGGGTTAAGTGTAGATATATAAATTGGGTTAGAACAATTTAAGATCGTGTCAGATATTAGTTGAGATCAACTTGTCTGTCTTAATCTATGATTTAGATTGTGCATTTTTACTCTATGATGTTGACTAATATCTGACATGTTATACTAAATTCTATTCATACTATAGGTATAACAACATCATCAAAAGAGTATTATATAGCAACGGTAGTTTATGCGATTTGGTGAAGACTTTGGATTCACAATTAGAAAAAGAAGCTGAGTGGAACCATTTTTTTGAGTATCAGACTCTGTCATCATGTATGGGGATTGCGTCTGTTAGTAGTGAAATATTGCCTGCTGTTAATCATATACTCTTAGAATACTTAACCCCACAAATTCTTTCTATTGAGTGTACTAAAATGGTACAGTGTTTATACTTTGATGCAGTATTAGTCGACTTAACAGTAATTGGATTAGATAATGAGAATAAGGATATAGATGATCGATTTACAGAAGATATTTATTATGTGAAGCAGATTTTATTTAAGTCAATAATATCAAAAGTGAATTAAATTAATATTAAAGAGATCTGTCAAATCACTAATAAATGACCTGGAAATAGCCAGAGAAAACACTTCGTTATTGTCCTTGATTCTATTTCTTATATATGTACATGTATGTCAAATATATTCTGTGGTATTCTATGTTGATATTACTTTCAAGTAATGTTGGTGTCACAAATTTCTGGATTTCATATTGGAATGGTGGTGTCGCATTGGTATTGTGATAATAAGAAAAAAGAAATTGATTAGGAAAATGTGATTTTCACAAATTCAGATACTAGTAAAGCTCAACAAGGTCAAAAAGCACCTCAACCTTTTACAGTTCTCTGTTCAATAGCAATAAGCAACTGAAGTGCAGCAGCCAGAGGTTCTAAATTTGGTGAAATTTGGGGTCTTGCACGGCAAGCTGTGCAATTGGCCGTAGAATGTGATGATAATAATATGGAACTATGGTTGAAACGCTTTATTAATCAAAAGAAGTGTCTTTTAATACAAAATGAAGAGTCTAAAGACAGTGATGACAGCGAAGAAAGTGAAAAGGAAAATAATTCCACAATCGAAAATTCAGCGATTACTAAGTATAGGGGCAGGCCTGTGACTAAAAGATTCAAGGCTGCCACAGAAAAGCCTCATCGTCAGCTATATACATGTCAAAGCTGTGGTAAGACTGGGCACAATAGTGCAAGATGTCAAAAGAAAGGTGGTTAATTTAATGTTGGTGGGTTACTGGGAGGTTTGTCGATTGTTATTTGATATGTTATTTGATATGTGATGTTGTTTTTTGTGTGGTTGTTGTTTGATATGCGATTGTTATTTGATGAGTGATTGTTATTGATAAGTGATTGTTTTTGATGAGCGATTGTTAGTGATGAGTGATTATTATTGATGAGCGATTGTTATTGATGAGCGATTGTTATTGATGTGTGATTGTTGTATTATGTGTAATTGCTATATAATTGCTATGCTATATTATGATTAACTGCATCTAAGCGATTCTAGATTATAGTACGTACGATTAATAAGATGTTTAATTGGGTAAGTGAGAAATCAGTTATTGTATATATGTAACGTATGTACTATCGTAGTTTCGTGTATTTACATTATTTTGCTATTTACTTGAGCTGATGAAATAATGTGCAGGGGTGTTATTTTGAATTTTGGCCCAAATTAAGCTTAATTCGAGCCAAATTTCAAAATTACACCCCTGCGTATTAATTCGGAAAATATAGTAAGACTAACTAATTGCATTGCAGTTTCGAATTGCAAGTATATACTGATATATAGTGCTGTCCCGAATCCTAGGATTTTAATTTGTACTTCGAATTTTTTATTAAAATTAATAAAAATTTGAATTTTATATATAAAGTCATATGATTTGAATTAATAATAAATATGTAGTGATAAATAACAAATGTTACATGCTGTTATAAATAAATTTGTTCTTTTTTTAATACTAATATTAATATTTATTGTTTAGTTATGAAATAAATGCCCTTTTTGCGAAATTAACTGCAGATGATGTACAAAAAGTGTGGCAACAATTTCTTGTCAATGTTGACATCGAAGCAATTCATGGCAAGTCTAATGGCTCAAATAATTTCGAACTATCACTTCTTAATGTAGTACGTGTTAGTATCTGGGTGGTAAATTTTTATGATCCTAAAAATGCACAATCGTTATTTTTTAATTTAAATAATGATTTATATACGGTCAATTTAAATATTTTAACCGTTAGTAGTTGGAATGTTGCAACATCTATTGACTTAAGTCGATACACTTTTCATGGTCCCAAGAGTGCTGATTTTAAATAATTTTTTTTTTCTTTGATAGTTTTTTTTTTTCGCTTTGTTTTTTTCTTTGGTTTGTTTTTGTTTTTTTTTATTATTATTTTCTGTTTTTTTTTTTCTTTTTTCATAGTTTGCGAAAAAATAAGTAAAATCAATTAAATGATTTTTTTTGAATGTATCATATAACATATTAATTATTAATTGAAGATTAACCAAATCTTGAGACTTTTATTAAAATGTTTTATAATATTTGCTAATTAATTGGTACTAGATGTTTAAGTAAAAATGTTCTGTCCTGAAAACTTTTACAAACACTAACTTGTGAAAAAATTTTTATTATAAAGCCTTACAAAATTTAAAACATAATAATATGATAGGTGCAAAACACCATAATTTGTATTCTATAATAAATGAATCTTTATTATTAAAAAATTGTGATAAAATCTTAAC